GTGTTGGTCCCAGGCAAAAGAAATGATTGGGGACCTTTTGACAGATTTTTGGAGATCTTTTTTATTATTTATTGATTTTTTTACACTTAAAACAGTAAACAGTTACACTTTTCGATGTTTTTTTTTTCAAATGTGTAATTTTACGAGTATTGCATTTAAAATTAAGCCTACACATTTACACATTTATCCAAACATGGCAAATATAGGATAAGGCTATAAGTACAGCTAAACCCTCAAGATTTTTACTAGTCACTTCTTGTTGAAGAATGTAATATGCTTAATATGCTTTATATTTGCTTTTTGTATTCTTTGCTATATATTTTGGAGCACCAAATAAATAACCTTTACAGCTAAATTACATCATTATTCATTTATGGTTATTTTTTTACAAAACACAATCACAGTAAACACATTTAGAATTATCCTGTTTATTCAAAGCAAAGTTAATTAATAAATGGAAATACATTTTTTAAATGTAGTCATCCATGGTGGAGTTCTCATGGTTCATAGCTTTGACATCTGCCAAAAAAATAAAGGGAAAAAAATGTGTTTGGTGCAATGAGCCATTTGTGTAGAAATACAATTTTAGGTAATAAATAAATAAATACTAAAAACGTATTTTAGTTTTTATAATTCTCAACCAGTTCTACAAATATGTTTGCTTTAAATTACATTTTTCATCTCTGAAGAAAGAAAATTATAAAAGGAAAAAAAAGGGGAAAAATTTCAATCACAAAACGCCATCTGCAACAAGATAAGAATAAATCTCCACATTCCATAATATAATATTTTATATAGTTTGTAAATGTCTACACAAAGGTTTGGAGGAAAAACATAATTACTGTTACTATGACTTGGGACACTATAACTTGACTTTATTATAGAGCATACAACTGAAAATGTGCGTGCGTCAAAGATTAGGCCTACAAACTGAAACACTGGAAAAGAAAACTGTGAATAGGCTGCTTTTAGAAAAGATATTCTTTTCTTTTACCTGTTAATTTCTTCTTTACCCTTTTACTTCTGTGCTGCACAACTAACAGAACCATGGCAATTCCTTGTCAGACGGGAAAGCAGTCTGAAACTGCAGACATAAGTTGTGGAACCACCTTGCACAATTCTCACACTGTACCTGCATGAACAAATGTAAATACAGTTTTAAATAAATATTTGCATACATGAGAAAAAACATGATGTTTAAGAGACAACACACATTAACGAACTGTTGTCTAATTAGGCCTACCTATTTTATACACCGTAAACCCTAATGTTGTCATTAATAAGCAAAGTTACAACTATAACTCAAGTTATTATTACTATGCTTAAAATACCATGTTTTGGCATTATAAACATATGTTTAGTTTATTTTAAGAACTAAAAATATAAATTTATTTTCCGTTTGAAATCTGATTTGGTATGTCTGAAGTTCTGCCTGACAACAGCGCTGATTGATACAACAGAAAGCGGTAAACGCAGTAGCCTAACGTTAGTCTAGCTATTTTGATCTTTGTGATTTTCCCTAGTGAAGACGGGAGAAGTAACCCAAGAGAAGGCAAAATCGGTAGGTAGACGTTAAAATGTGTATGCATTTTATTTTTACTTTATCTTAATACATTTTATTCTAACGTTCTTTGCAAATTTGCGCTATTTGCTGTGTTAAAACTAATTTACTCACGCAGGTGGCAAGCATCTGTCTTTTTTCAAAATGAATGAATGAAAAATTCCTTTCTGAACAATTTTCAACAATAATTATGTGGTCAATAAATTAGCTCAAAACGTCCTGGGCTGCGTTTCTCGATAACGA